GAACCAAAATATATCATGACCCTTCCATAAAAGTAAACTCCAGGATCAAATGACTTCCCTGCAGGATTCCACCAAACACTTTAAGAAGAAATACCAAAGTCAAGTCTTTTTCCAAAAATGGAAGAGAGAACTTTCCCCCATATATCTTTGGGAGGCCAACATCATCCTACTGTCAAAATCAGGCAAAAAAAAATTAAAGACCAATGTTCCTCACAAAGAAAAATTGAAAATCCTTAAAATAATGTTGGCAAATTGAATCCAACACTATAAAAAAAATTTAAAAACCTACAAGAAAACTAAGATACCAAGGCATAGCCATGCTGGAGCATGCCTGTAATCTCAGCACTCAGCAGGCTGAGGCAGGAGGATTGCCACATTTCAAGGCCAGCGGAAGCTACACAGTGAGTGAGTTCAAGCCCAGCCTGAAATCTACAGTGGTACTCTAGCTTAAAAAAAAAAAAAAGTTAATGCTGTAAATACAAAGCTGATTCAATACATGTAAATGAATCAATGTAATCTACCATATTAATAGACTAGAAAAAGTAAAATCATAGAATCACATAGATTGAAGCAAAAAAAAAACTGGCAAAATTCAACATTGTCTTCTCTCAGTGAGAAGGAAAAAGCACTCCTTTATTGATGAATTAGATAAATGATAGATTATAGAGAGATGATAGAGAAGATAGATGATAGATAGATAGATAGATAGATAGATAGATAGATAGATAGACAGATAACAGACAGATACATAGATACATGGACTTATACTTAAGGATGAAAGACCAAATACATGTTCTCCGAGTAGCATTGGAGACAAACCAAGACGCCTTCCTTACACGTGCCATTCCTCCTCCTCATACCGCGTCTTTGCCAATCCAATAAAACAAGAAAAAGAATCAAATATAGATTAGAAAATTTAGAAATAGGCGGAGCGGCGACGGCAGTGGTGGCTCCCTCTCCGCCTCCCTCTTCCCGCCCCTCAACCCCTTTCCACTCCTCCTCCCCAGCCCGTCCGGGAAAACACCAGCCGTTGCTCGCAAACTGCAGCCTGCGCTCAGCCAACAGCGCCCAACGGCCGGCCCGCCGCGAGCGCCCACCACCCCGGGACGCCGGCTGCGCTCCTGGCTGCCGCAGCGGCAGGCTGCCCTCTGGTCCTAGGCGGCCTGAGACAGGGTCCCTGCGTTACAGGGGCGAAGAGGAGCGCCCAGGCGCCCGCCACCACCACCAGACAACCTCCCCCGCGCCACCACCGCCTCAGCCTAGCCGGAGCAGCAGCAGCAGCAGGCCTCCTCCCCGAAGGACTTTCCTGATCCATTTACATCCTTGAAGAGCATCTGTAGAAGAAGGAAAAGATGGGTGTGAAGACATTTACTCATAACTCCTCCTCCCACAGTCAGGAAATACTTGGAAAACTAAATATGTTGCGGAACGATGGACATTTCTGCGATATCACTATTCGTGTCCAGGATAAAATCTTCCTGGCACATAAGGTGGTACTCGCAGCTTGCAGCAGTTTCTTTCGTACCAGGCTTGTGGGCCAAGCAGAGGATGAGAACAAGGGCGTGTTGGATCTGCATCACGTGACGGCGGCTGGCTTCATGCCTCTTTTAGAATACGCTTACACGGCCACTCTGTCAGTTAACACAGAAAATATTATTGATGTTCTAGCGGCAGCCAGCTATATGCAGATGTTCAATGTCGCTAGCACCTGCTCAGAGTTCATGAAATCAAGTATTTTATGGAATACACCCAATGAGCAGCCAGAAAACAGCCCAGATGCTGGGCAAGAAAATAATTCTAACTGCAATTTTACCTCTCGTGATGGAAGCATTTCTCCGGTACCTTCAGAGTGCGGGGTGGTGGAAAGAACCACTCCCGTCTGCCGAGAATCCCGGAGAAAACGCAAGAGCTGCGCTGTTAGGCCTCCCGAGAGTCCTGTACAGTGTAGCACGCAAACAAGCTCTCCCCAGGTATTGAATGCCTCAGCTTCCGACACAGAAAATAGAAATCAACCAGATGACTCTTCTTTAGCTTTTCCTTCTTGGACTTTTCCTTTTGAAATTGATCCAAGGGTTCAGCCTGAGAAAGCTAAGCAGGCAGAAAGCCCTCGGACTTTAGAATTACCTGGCCCATCTGAGACAGGTGGAAGAGCGACCTGCAGGAACACAAAAGCTGCCTGGCCTCTGGGTTCCGAAGGAGACGGCCAAGTCAAAGTACAAAGGTTAAGCAGTGAGGAGGCCCACGAGGCGGGGTCGCAGCCTGTCAGCGCACCTCAGAGCTGCCTGCGTGATCAGCACACAGCCCCAGGAAGCCGGCGAGGTCAGGAGGACCTTCCGGTGAGTCCATGGTCTTCCTCCGCAGGCACCAGTGATGAGGGCGTTGCCGAGGCGTTGCCTACACTGCCAAGCTCTCCCAGCACTAACGCTCCTGTGGATGACGACGACCGACTGGAAAACGATCAGTATCCCTACCAACCCGACATCACTCCTTCTGCCAGCAGTACGGAACGACCAGGTCCCAGTGGCCCAGACAGACCTTTCCAGTGCCCAACCTGTGGGATGCGATTCACCCGCATTCAGAACCTGAGGCAGCATCTCCTCATCCACTCAGGAATTAAACCATTTCAGTGCGACCACTGCGGGAAAAAGTTCACCAGGGCTCATTCGCTAAAGACGCATCACCTAAAGCATGAAGGGGCAGGCCGTTTCCAGTGCCAGGTGTGTAGCGCCACATTCACTTCCTTCGGGGAATACAAACACCATCTGAGGGTCTCCCGGCACGTCATCCGCAAGCCTCGGATTTACGAGTGCAAAACATGTGGTGCCATGTTCAACAGCTCTGGAAATTTCGTCGTGCACCTGTGGAGCCTGAACCATGAAGCATCAGAGCTAGCAAACCACTTCCAGCGCGGTGATTTCCTAGTACCGGACTACTTCAACCAAGAAGACCAAGAAGGGACCCTTGCTCAGTACGATCTTGGAGAACATGGTTTTGAAAGCAACTCTTCTGTTCAAATGCCTGTAATTTCACAGGTCTCATCCATCCAGAATTGTGAATGCACCTTCCCCTTGGGATCCCTTGCTGGGCTGGCAGAAAAGGAAGAAGAGGGGTCACAGCAGCCGAATCCCATTGTGCTTGCTGACCTTACCAGAGAAGATTCCCCCCATCGGAGCTATCTTCTATAACTATCCGGTGGTTTTCTGGTTTGACTTTGTTTTTTGGGTTTTTTTTTTTTTTTTTTTTTTTTTGGAAAGTGCCTGTGCTTGGTCTTCTACATTTAAACTTAATTTTTTAAGCAAGGAAGCGTTTGGGAAAGAATCTGCCTTTTCATTTTGTAAGGCCTGCAACTGATGTTTTACTTTCTTAACTGAGAAATTGCTTCAGTAAGGATATAGTAGCATGATGTTGAAATAAGAGAAATCACGAGACCCAGGAGAACCGGTTGACTTCAAACATGTACCAGGATTTTTCCTTTAATTATTAAAGGTAGGCTAATAACAGATCACTAGGTAAAAAAGAAGTCAGATGATTATTAACTTGGTTTTCCTAAGGTGAAAAGGTGCGTGAGAAACAAGTTACTAAGCAGAATTTAAGTAATGGCTTGAGTAGATGTTTACTGTTTTGCATAGGACATTGCAAAGTTTTTGGAAGAGGTGGTGGTAAGCCTTCTTAAAAATTACTAAATACTTCTGAAATCCAGCATAATTTTTTTAAGCTTTGTCATTCTACTATATTTTTTAGATGAAAATTTGCTCTTGAATAGGCATCCCCCATACCTTTAAGTTCCCCTCAAAAGGCAAAGAACCATGACTGAGAAGTCAAGACTGTGGACGGCACGGCCAGGAACACACACTGAAACACAAAGCTCAGCTTCATAGACATTCTTCTAACAGTACTTTTCTGACTGAAATTGACATTTAACTGATCTTTGGAGGTAAATGTCTTGTCGCTAGGTCATTGCCCAAGTCACTCTTCTCTGTGGCCCACCAACAGTACTTTTTCTTGTATTTACCAGTGTGCTACTATATAAAGTAAAACTATTAGAGATACCCTATATTTTATATATAGGTTTGTATATTGTTGGTGATGTTTTTACAGCACTGTTTTGAGCAAAATAAAGAATTCTGCATTGGGGTTAAGAAAAAAAAACTGAGAAATAAAACTCTCCCAGTAAATAAAAACCAAAATGTACATTAGATATTATAAAATGGAAATAAATTTCAAAAGGAAAGAGAAACTGAAATGAGGAAATGAAGAAAAGAAAGGGAAAAGGAAATAGAAAAAAATTAAATACATATATAGATATAAAAGATAGTTATATCTTAGTTCATTGAAAAGAAAGGCTTGTGCTAATATTATTGGACAATTAAATGCCAATATCTTATACCCTGAGTAACTAAAGACAATAATATGCATTGTATGAATTATTATTACCCTCCTTTTGAAATTTGTTTTATTTTTTCTCTCTAGAATAAAAGATAAAATAAAATAGCTATCCAATGCATAGATGATATGATTGTCCAGGAAGCAAATCTCAAGGAATGCACCCAAAAAAAATAGGGTCTTAGAACCAATATAAGAGTTACACACTGGGGCCGGGGAGATAGCTCAGTGGAATAAGCACTTCCCTGGCAAGCACAAGGGCCTGAGTTCAATCCCTGGTTCTGCCAAAAAAAAA